ACAGGTAAATTAATGGACAGTGTTTGTATTGCACGCAGTTATCATATGTCCATATCCCTACAGAGCTCTTTACCAGACTTAATGACAGCTCTCAAAACCTTCCTTTGGTCTTGAGACTCATATTCTGCTTCTCATTTTCCCTTTTTGGTTAGGGACATATACTCCAATGAGAGGACAGAGAAGGGGTTAGAAGTGGTTTTTCTCTCTGAACTTTAAACATAACTATATTTATCTTTTGAACTCCTAACTCTGGTCTTACGTTTGCCGTATTTACTTCACTTTTTAGTGTTCAAAAATCAAGATGTCTAGCAAAAAGGCAAAGACGAAGACCACCAAGAAACGCCCTCAGCGTGCCACTTCCAATGTCTTTGCAATGTTTGATCAGTCACAGATTCAGGAGTTCAAGGAGGCCTTCAACATGATCGACCAGAACAGGGATGGCTTCATTGACAAAGAGGACTTGCACGATATGCTCGCCTCCCTTGGTAATGTCACTTCTCTGATTATGGTTGCCAAAAAAAATTGTGCTGTTATAATTAAAACAGTGAGTTTGGGATTTCTTCTGAGAGATGTCTCCGTTTGTATTACACTGTATTACATTACGAACTAAAAGAAATATGAATCCCTTTATTTGTAGGAAAGAATCCAACGGATGAATACCTCGATGCCATGATGAATGAGGCTCCGGGCCCCATAAACTTCACAATGTTCCTTACAATGTTTGGCGAGAAGTTAAATGGCACCGATCCGGAAGACGTAATCAGGAATGCTTTTGCTTGTTTTGATGAAGAAGCAACAGGTACATGGGTGAAAGTCACCCGCTTGATGGGGATGGGGGCGGCAGGTGTACCTTTATGTTGTTTATTTGGGTTTCTAAATAATATGCTGATATTTGCACCTTTATAGATGAACTGCAGCACAGTAATCCTTCTAGATGGTATGTTCTACCAAGTAATGAGAATTTGACTTGTTACTGAGAGTGAAAAATGCCTGTTTTGTGTGAGTTGTGTTTTTCTCTGAGATTTTGAAGAAGAGTGTTTCAACAAAGCAGTGAGTATGTACCTCAAAGAGCAGAATAAGATGCATTTGCTCTTAGATGAGGAATTCGAATTGGTAATACATTATTTTCTATGGCATTGAAAAGGTAACGGATGTGAAATCTGTAATACAACTGAGCTTGTCATCCCCCCCTCCCCTGTGGTAGATTTGAAATATTAAGTACATCGAAGAATTCAGATGCATCTCAAGACAGGCTGTCCAGCCTAGGTAAACTCTTTTGAACCATTATTTTGCCTAGTGTTTGTTATGGCTCTGATGACAAATGCCACGTGTCATGCTCCCAGCTGCAGCTCCGTTTGCTTTCTGGTTGCAGGAAGGGCTGTAGCATTTATGACCTAAAGATAAAAACAGGGTGAGGTCTAGAAGGCAGAAATGTCAAATTGGACTGAATGCACAGCAAAGTGGGGATAAAGAGGAAAATGCAGAGCTCTTTTAATATATCAAGCTTTCAAGGTTGCACCTTGAGGTTAGAATTTATGCTTTTATTTATTTCTTTATACAGGCTAAGATTCTAGAGAAGTGTGTAATAACCGGGGATGAATCCTTAGGGCAGTTCTGAGGAATTGCAGACTACCAGTGCTTTGGCATGTTGTGAACACGTCTTAATAGTGTGTGCCGAAATTACGTAGCCTCTGTACTGGAGATGTCACCGCACCTATAACTTTCCTCACAACTGTCCACCACGATATTTCAATCTAACCTGTGAATATATGCTCTGAACCTTTCAGAGGGTGTTATTTCATTTCAAACGGCTATTTTCGGTCTGTGTATTTTTAGCACCTTTTGCCTTTTCAAAGAGCATCCCCTTCCTGC